GGGATTACAGGTGCACGCCACCACACCCAGCTAATTTTTGTATTTTTGGTAGAGACGGGGTTTCCTGATGTTGGCCAGGCTGGTCTCCAACTCCTGACCTCAGGTGATCTGCCTGCCTCAGTCTCCCAAAGTGCTGGGATTATAGGCGTGAGCCACTGCGCCCAGCAGAATCTGCATTTTAACAAGATCCCCAGATGACTGTATGCACACTGAAGTGTGAGAATCATGCTCTAATAAGTGCGGGAGGTGGAGGTGACAATTTTATGTATGATTATTTTTAAAATATACATGGTCAAGAATTGGAAGGTACTTGGCAAAAATAAAAACAGCTTAAATGGAGGTAAACCCACTTTCCCACACAAAGTGCCTGGCCAGCTGTAGGTCCTCAAGGCAGCTGTTAGGAAGGCAACACTGTTGTGAGGGTTTCTTTTTCTTTTTTTAAATGCATTCCTGAATGTTCTTGTTAAATCACATTTAACAAATGTTTGGAAACTTAAAAGATAAATGAACATGTTGCGCTTCTTTTTAAACCAGACATTAAAACTGGTTAACTTACTGTTTTCCTTTTTGCCTCAGCTATCAGGAATCAGAGTTAAATTTAATACTCAAGACAGTAATACTATCAGCCTAGCTTTTTTGAATATTTTTCTCTCTCTGACTTTTATTTTCTATTTTATTAGGTTTTCTAGTATGTTTCTTACAAATCACTTAAAAATTCTTTTTGAAAATAAGGGTCCAAATTATAATTATGACTTCTAAAAACAGCCTGTTCTTGTGTGCCAGGCTCCACAAAACATAAATTTGTGAAACTAACTACCTGCCTGTTTTTAATTATTTCTTATTCCCCTGATCATTTTTCACCTCTCAAGACACAAGTAAGGCCAGACGCGGTGGCTCATGCCTGTAATCCCAGCACTTTGGGAGGTGGAGGCGGACAGATCACCTGAGGTCAGGAGTTCAAGACCAGCCTGGCTAACACGGTGAAACCCCGTTTCTACTAAAAGTACAAAATATTAGCCAGGCATGGGGGCACACGCCTGTAATCCCAGCTACTTGGGAGGCTGAGGCAGGGGAATGGCTTGAACCTGGGAGGTGGAGGTTGCAATGAGCCAAGATCACGCCATTGCATTCCAGCTTGGGCAACAAGAGCAAAACTCCATCTCAAAAAAAAAAAAAAAAAAGACACAAGTAAAACTAAAGGTTTCCTGTTTGCTCCACAGTGAAGGTCTCAGAGGCCAAATAGCTCCTGCCCCAGTGGGGTGTTGTTTCTCTCTACCCAGGCAGCATCACAGCCTTACATCCCAGTCCCTAGTGTCACACTGCCTGAGGATTCGGTAAGGAAGCAGAGAACCCCAGCCCTTCTAAGGACACGCAGACCACCCTCCCATAGAATTACTCACCGACCCTTCAGCTGCTTCACACCTCCTCTGTAATGAAGGAGAGAACAGTATATGTTACTACCAAGCCTCGTTTTTAGGATAATTTCCTGCACACTACTCCGTCTCCAAACTCCATCAGATTCCTCTTACTCACTCTCAAGAAAGCTTGGACTTTTTTGTTCATGTCATTTATCAGCTTGTAACTGTATTGCATGATTTTCTCCCTTACCAGACCATAAGCTCCAATTGAGATTGCCCTTAACCACTGTACTTCCAGTGCCTAAAGGCATTGTTCAGCAACTAGGGCACATTAGCTGTTATCGGTTGGGCAGATGGGTGATGTAAAAAACGAATATGGCCGGATGCAGTGGCTCACACCTGTAATCCCAGCACTTTGGGAGGCTGAGGAGGGCTGGATCACTTGAGGCCAGGAGTTCGAGACCAGGCCTGGCCAACATGGTGAAACCCATCTCTACTAAAAATACAAAAAATATAGCTAGGCATGGGTGGCAAGGTCCTGTATCCAGCTGCTTGACGGCTGAGGCAGGAGAATCGCTTGAACCCGAGAGGCAGAGGTGCAGTGACCCCAGATCATGCCACTGCACTCTAGCCTGGGTGATGACAGAGCAAGACTTTGTCTCAAAGAAAAAAAAAAAAAAAAACGGTGAAAATACTGGAAAGACAGAAAGAGGAGGAGAACTATCAACTTGCTACGTTGGCATCAAAAAAATAAATAAGGCGAGAACTAATTTATTAATCACTTGCAATGTGCAGGCATGTTAGTCGCTGTATATACCGCTATGGGATCCTCAGCACAAATCCCCCTTTTTTTTTTAATAATATAATCCACTAACAAGCTGCTGGGTAGGCTCACGCCCGTAATCCCAACACTTTGGGAGGCCGCGGTGGGGCACCAGGAGTTTGAGGACCAGCCTGGGCCAAAATGGTGGAACTCTGTCTCTACAAAATTTTGTTTTTAGAAAAAGCCAAAGTGTGGTGGTATGGCCTGTACTCCTAGCTATTTGGGGAGGCTAAGATAGGAGGATCACTGAGCCCAGGAGGTGAAGGTTGCAGGGAGCTTGCAGTGAGCTGCAGTGAGGCTGAGATCGTGCACTGCCACTCCAGCCTGGGGTGACAGGGCCAGAATCTGTTCTCAGAAAAAAAAAAAAAAAGCTTGACCGGTGATAGGCCGGGGGTCCAGTAGGTAGGGGGGGTAGTAGGTGCGGGTAGTATATATACTTTCACCAACATAAAATTCACCCATTTAAGGTATACAATTCAGTGGTTTTTAGTATATTCACTAGACTGTGCAACTATCATCACTAATTCTAAAACATTTTCATCACCCCAAAAGGAACCCTGTGCCCATTAGCAGTCACTCTTGTTTCCCCTACTTCCTAGCCACCTCCTAATCTGCTTTCTGTCTCTATGGATGCCTATTTTGAATATTTTATAGAAATTGAACCACATATGTACAAATGGAAGCCAGTCTTTTGTGGCTGGTTCCTTTCATTTAACATGTTTTCAAGGTTAATCCACATGGTAGCAATTCTTACTACTTCATCCCTTTTTATGGCTGGATAATATTTCATTGCACGGATATACACATTTTGTTTATCTGTTCATCAGGAGATGGACATATGGGTTGTTTCCATTTTTTGGCTATTATGCTGCTATGAACATTTGTGTATAAGTTTTTGTGTGAACATTTGTTTTTAATTTTCTTGTGTATGTACCCAATAGTGGAATTACTGGGTCATATGGTAACTCTATGATTAACCATTTGAGGAACTGCCAGGCTGCTTTCTGCAGCAGTTGCAACATTTTAGATTTGCGTTAGCAGTGAATGAGGGTTCTAATTTCTCCACTTGCTCACCAACACTTGTTATTATTCACCTTTTTTATTATAATCATCTTAGTGGGTGTGAAATTGTATCTCAATGTGGATTTGATTGGCATTTTTCTAATGACTAATGATGTTGAGCATCTTTTGGTGTGCTAATTGGCCATCTGTATATCTTCTTTGGAGAAGTGTCTATTCAAATCCCTTGCCCTTTTTTTTTTTTTTAAGATGGAGTCGCACTCTGTCACCCAGGCTGGAGTGCAGTGGTGCGAACTCGGCTCACTGCAAGTTCTGCCTCCGGATTCACGCCATTCTCCTGTCTCAGCCTCCCGAGTAGCTGGGACTACAGGCACCTGCCACACGCCTAGCTAATTTTTTGTATTTTTAGTGGAGAGAGGGTTTTACCATGTTAGCTAGGATGGTCTCAATCTCCTGACCTTGTGATCTGCCCATCTTGGCCTCCCAAAATGCTGGGATTACAGGCGTGAGCCACCATGCCCGGCATCCCTTGCCCATTTTAAGCATTGGGTAGTCTTTTTATTATTGAGTTGTAGGAGTTCTTAATATATTCTGGATTCTAGATCTTATCCAATTATAATTTGCAAATATTTTCTTCCGTTCTGTGGGTTGTCCTTTTACTTTCTTAATGGTGTCTTTTTAAACAAAAAAAACAATTAAATTTGATGAAAGCCAATTTATCTATTTTTTTCTTTGGTTGCTTGTGCATTAGGTGTCATATCTAAGAAGCTATTGCCTAATCCAAGTTCACAAAGATTTACAACTATATTTTCTTTTAAGATTTTTATAGTTTTATATCTTGCATTTAGGTCTTTAATTTTTGTATATGGTGTGAGGTAGGGGTTCAATTTCATTCTTTCATATATAGATATCTGATTGTTCCAGCATCATTTGTTGGAAAGACTATTCTTTCCCCTATTAAATAGTCTTGACATCCTTGTTGAAAATCAATTGGCCATAAATGTTTGGGTTTATTTCTTTTTTTTTTTTTTTTTTTTTTTTTTTTTGGAGACGGAGTCTTGCTCTGTCGCCCAGGCTGGAGTGCAGTGGCACAATCTCGGCTCACTGCAAGCTCCACCTCCTGGGTTCAAGCCATTCTCCTGCCTCAGCCTCCCAAGTAACTGGGATTACAGGTGTACACCACCACACCTAGCTAATTTTTGTATTTTTAGTAGAGATGGGGTTGCGCCATGTTGGCCAGGCTGGTCTCCAACTCCTGACCTCAAGTGATCTGCCTACCTTGGCCCCCCGAAAATGCTGGGGTTACAGGCGTAGGCCTCTGCACCCAGCCCTACTATTTCATTTTTTTCTTCCCTTTATAGAATCCGCAAGGGATCCAGGCCCTAGGTGTTTCCCTGGCCCAGGAACTATAGGAATCTACCCTACTGTGATGGGAAGAAATCTCCCTCTTCTCTCCTCCTTGGCCCAGCTCTTTCTAGTAATTTGTTTTCTTTTTCGTTTTTTTGAGACAGAGTCTCGCTCTGTCATCCAGGCTGGAGTGCAGTGGCATGATCTCAGCTCACTTCAACCTCTGCCTCCCAGGTTCAAGAGATTCTCCTGCCTCAGCCTCCTGAGTAGCTGGGACTACAGCTGCAAGCCACCACACCCAGCTATTTTTTGTATTTTTAGTAGAGATGGGGTTTCACCATGTTGGCCAGGATGGTCTTGATCTCTTGACCTCATGATCTGCCCACCTTGGCCTCCCAAAGTGCTGGGATTACAGGCATGAGCCACCGCACTTGGCCTGTTTACATCTTTAACCACATAACAGGTGGGTTATCCTTGTCCCACTCCCAAAGAAGGATGAAATGTTTCCTATCACTTCTTTATGGAGAAGTGGGCCCCAGTCTTGGCCAGAGGGGACCTGAGTTCTGGGCTCTTATTTGCCACTGCCTTTCTGGGAACTTCTGAGTGACTCTCCCTTTTGGGCTTCAAGTTCCTCATGTGGGAAGAGTCCTTGGTTATAGTGGACAGAGGAGTTTGGCTGCTTCTTCTAGTCCAAGGGCTAATGTGAAGACAGCTATGGGGAAAAGAGACTGGAGAGGTCCCTGAGATGTAACAGGTCCCCAGTGATGGCCACCTGCTGAGACCAGGCATTTGGGGATCCACAGGGGTGCAAGACAGTCCTTGCCCTTGACTCAGGGAAGAAATTAATGCTCTGAAAAAGTTAGCCTCTCAAAATGGGCAGGGGAAGAGCCCAATAAGAAACAGAAGTGAAAAGCACCCTAGGAAGAAGGGAGGTAATGAGAAGCAGTCAGGGAGGGCTTCCTGGAGGGTCTGCTTGGGCCTCGAGGATCAGCTGCAGCTAACTTTTATGACTGACAGGTAGGATTTGGATGTGAGGGAATTGAAACAGGACGAACATTACGAGAATCCCAAGGCTGCTGTTCCTCCAGGGATCTTGGGCTCCCACCAGCTGCACTCCAGGAGCTGTCACTTCTGCACCCTCATTGATCTGTTCTAAAGGTCCCTGCCTTCCTACTTCCTCCCCAGCAACTCATCCCCCTGTTGTTCCCCTCTCCACCGAGCAAGCTCCCAGGAATATTACTTCGAGACCCAGCCTCAGTGCCTCCTTCTAGGGGAGACCACACTTAGCCCCCAAGGCTGGATTGCAGCTCTCTCCCCTATAGCCTCTGAGAGTGTAGAGGGGTGAGGGGGACATTCCTTTATCACAGATCACCTTATCACCTGCTAGCTTGCAACCCTCCACTGGCCTTTGATTTCAGGGAGGACATGGGCTGTGTCTGATTGTCCCCATCCCTTGGCCAGGGACCAAGCCTTAGAGAACTGGCTAAGACAAACCCCTACCCACATCCCAGGGTCTCCAGACAGGGGACACCATTGTGGAGTTGGGGGATTACCAGTTCCATCTGCCTTGTAGTCGTCAGGGAGGAGCTTGTCCTGCCGGTAGCCCAACACGAAGGCCAGGAAGGAGAGGATGAGGGCATCGCCAATGCTGAGGATGGCCAGCATGAAGGCCCAGCGGATGGTGCAGTGACCCAGCGTGTACTTGCCCGTCTGCTCCCCACACATGCGCCGTACCTCACTTGAGTCCCAGCCATCAGGGTAGACCAGGCAGCCAATCATTAGACCTGTGGCTGAGGGAGAAGGAGGGGTGCAGATGGCATCAGGCTGAGTGTGCCCAGTCCACTACCTCCCACTTTGCACTGCTGTTATATTGTCACCTCCCTTCTCCTTCTGTTAACAGCCTCAGGAGGCATGAGAGGTAGCTTCTACCATCCTTCTTGCAGAACGCAGGTGAGAAAACTGAGGCTCTGAAAGTTAAAGCAACTGGCCCCTGAGACCCAGCGGTTGGGGCAGAGGCAGAGAGGTGAACTCCTCAGCCCAGGCAGGCTCTGCCACCGCACCAGGTGGTCCTCCCAGGCCCTCAGCCATTCTCCTCACCTTGAACTCAACAATGTACCACCTGCCCTAGCTTCAAAGCCCTCCAGTATCTGGTCCCAGCCCAAAGAACTCATCACTGCTGAGATGCACATTTCTTCATACTTACAACATCTGTGAAATAAGTGTAATAAGAAAGTGTCGGCCAGGCACACTGGCTCATGCCTGTAATCCCAGCACTTTGGGAGGCTGAGGTGGGTGGATCACCTGAGGTCGGGGGTTTGAGACCAGCCTGACCAACATGGAGAAACCCCGTCTCTACTAAAAATACAAAATTAGCCCGCCGTGGTGGTGCATGCCTGTAATCCCAGCTACTCAGGAGGCTGAGGCAGGAGAATTGCTTGAACCCGGGAGGTGGAGGTTGCAGTGAGCTGAGATCGCGCCATTGCACTCCAGCCTGGGCAACAAGAGCGAAACTCCGTCTTAAAAAAAAAAAGAAAAAGAAAGTGTCTAGGCTGGGCGCGGTGGCTCACACCTGTAATCCCAGCACTTTAGGAGGTCGAAGCGGGCAGATCACCTGAGGTTGGGAGTTTGAGACCAGCCTGACCAACATGGCGAAACCCCGTCTCAACTAAAAATACAAAATTAGCTGGGTGTGGTAGCACATGCCTGTGATCCCAGCTACTGGGGAGGCTGAGGCAGAAGACTCACTTAAACCCTGGAGGCAGAGGTTGTGGTGAGCCGAGATCACGCCATTGCACTCCAACCTGGGCAACAAGAACAAAACTCCATCTCAAAAAGAAAAAGAAAAAGAAAAAGAAAGTGTCAAGCCGTGGCTGGATTATCAGTATTTTTTGTTTTTATAGTACATAGAATAACACTGTGTCCTACAACTCAGGTATCTTAAATTTGATGAATACAGGAAAGTTTTCCAGACTGTCCCTGGCTGCTTCCTTCAAAAGCCTTCCATTCAAGCAAACAGGTTTCTTCCTCACTCTTACCCAGTACAGCATAGTCCAGTTGCTACACGTCCCTAAATTTAAGAATCCCTTGGAGGCTGAGTGCAGTGGCTCATGCCTGTAATCCCAGCACTTTGGGAGACTGAGGCGGGTGGATCACCTGAGGTTGGGAGTTTGAGACCAGCCTGACCAACATGGAGAAACCCCGTCTCTACTAAAAATACAAAAATTAGCCAGGTGTGGTGGCACGTGCCTGTAATGCTAGCTGCTTGGGAGGCTGAAGGAGGAGAATCGCTTGAATCCAGGAGGCAGAGGTTGCAGTGAGTCGAGATTGTGCCATTGCACTCCAGCCTGGGCAATAAGAGTGAAACTACATTTCAAAAAAAAAAAAAAAAAAATCCCGTGGAATCTTTAATGTTGGTTCCTTCACCTATAACCTATGCACAAAAAAATAAGGTAAAAAGCTAGTTCCTAGGTCATGGTTGGGTTCAATAATCTCTGTTTTCAAAAACACTCTTCCAGGTGATTTTCTCAGTAGGAAAAGCTGATAAACACTAGACTAGGCTGCCTGGATTTCAAGCCCAGCTCTGTACTACCTAGCTATGTGACTCAGAGCAAGTGACTTAAGCTTTCTTTTTTTTTTTTTTTTCTTTGAGACAGAGTCTGTCTCTGTCGCCTAGGCTGGAGTGCAGTGGCGCGATCTCAGCTCACTGCAAACTTCGCCTCCCGGATCCAAGTGATCCCCCTGCCTCACCCTCCCGAGTAGCTGGGATTACAGGCATGTACCACTGCGCCCAGCTAATTTTTGTATTTTTAGTAGAGATAGGGTTTCACCACGTTGGCCAGGCTGGTCTTGAACTCCTGGGTTCAAGTGATCCACCCACCTCGGCCTCCCAAAGTGCTGGGATTACAGGCATGAGCCACCGTGCCCAGCCATACTTAAGCTTTCTTTGCCTCAGTTCCTCATCTATAAAACGGAGATAATAATAACCCCAACCTTCCTGTTGTGGTTACAGCAAGGTTCAAATGAGTTAATACTGGAAAAGAGTGTAGAACAGTGCCTGGCACAGACTTGGCCCTCCGTAAGAGTTGACTGTGAGAGTTATTATCCCACTCTGTGCCTTCCTTGACTTAGTATTTACAGCTAAAAATTCTGTTGCCCCCACTTTCCCCCCACTTCTTCCATCCCTTTCCATCAAACCACTCCCTCAACTTAGCTTCGCTGGGGTGAAGCACAGACAGGTGACATAATCCAGGATGCAACTGGGGCAGCCCCAGGCACAGCTGCCCCACGGGCAGGGGGTGCTCCCCTTATCTGTGCCGCTTTCCCACAGGTCTGGAGGCTCTCTAGTCCCAAGGTTGTACCCTACTCAGAAGCCCCTCAGAGAAGCACCTCTTCAGGCCCAAAGTTACCTTCCCTGTACCCAGCTTGTTCCGCAAAAAAGGTCAGGAGGTCAAACAAATGCACAGTAAATGGAAATATCAGGATCCCACCTCCCCACCTAAATGTATCATGCTTCCTCCAATTTTTTTTTTTTAGGAGAAGCTTATTTAGATAGTTCTTTATAGATCACAAAATACTTCATGTACCATCTTGACTGTGACCACTGTTCTGTGAAGGGGGCCAGCTATTAATATCCTCATTTTACAGATTAGAAAACTGAGGGCTTGGCCCGGCGCGGTGGCTCACACCTGTAATCCCAGCACTTTGGGAGGCTGAGGTGGGCAGATCATGAGGTCAGAAGATTGAGACCATCCTGGCTAACACAGTGAAACCCCATCTCTACTAAAAAATACAAAAACATTAGCCTGTACTCCCAGCTACTCTGGAGGCTGAGGCAGGAAAATGGCGTGAACTCGGGAGGCGGAGCTTGCAGTGAACCAAGATAACAATCCACTGCACTCCAGCCTGGGTGACAGAGCGAGACTCTGTCTCAAATAAATAAATAAATAATAAAACTGAGGGCTCAGAGAAACCAGGTGACTTACCAGCCATCCAGTCATCCAGCTATGATAGGACCAAGGCCTGAATTCTCCATTCCTGACTTTCCTGACTTCAAAGTTTATTCCCTCCACCCCCAGAACATGACGCCTCTCCCAGGAGCTGAATGTAATTAGTGGTGACATTTCAGACTTCCTACATGTTCAGCGATAAACTAAGTTTTCAGGAAGATACCCACAGTGGAGGAGGGGGAGCCATCCACAGCTCGGTGGTGAAACCTATGTAGCCAGCCCTTCCCCGACTTGGTGTGAGTCCAGCCCTCCAGTGCCTGGCAGGGCCCCTGGCTTCAAGGGCAGAGGTGAAGGTGGGAAGGAGCTGCCCTTCCAGGCTTTGCATTCTCTCCATCACTTCCTCCCTTGGCCCCTCCCCTCCTGCACCATCTTCCTGTGGGGGCTCCGTTAAAAAGCCCAGGGCCTCTGACCTGGAAACAGGTGTGGGTGCCACAGTCCCCTGTGAGCATTCCACCCGTCCACCCATGGTTCTGGGGACAGTGGGTGTCAGCCCCAGTTGTGGCATTTCAAGGTTCTAAGTAGAAGCCAGCACAGTGTTCTCAGGCCGAGTTACTTCCTCTCTCTGACTACCGTCCTGTTGTCTCTAACGTACCTGACTCATAGCCGCACTGTGAGGATTAAGTGTGATCATTTACAGAAAACACTTACTACTATGTCTTGTACATGGTAAGTGGCCAATTAATGTTAGTCACTGGTATTATTATTGACATTGGAGTCAGACAGAAGCTGCCTCAGTGACATGGATGCCATTAGAGCTGCTCATGAATATTCCAGATGCAAGGCAAGGTTGTACTTCCTTGCCCCGCTTTCTTGAGGTTAAGTGAGGCCATCTGCCTTCCTCTGGCCAATGACATGTGAGCAGAGATGTGTGTATTTCCGCGCCATGGCACTTAGCTGCAGTGGGAGACCTCCCAGAGCTCCCTTCCCTCCGATGCGAGGACAGCTGATGGTGACTCATGCCCCTAGCGATGGTCCCAGGAGAGAGCAGCGAGAGCAGAGTCCCCACCGATCCCCAGTTGGCATGGACCATAAGCAAGAAATACATAAACCTTTGTTCTAAGCCACCAAGATTTGGGAGTGGTCTGTTACTATGGCATCACTTCTCATGCTCACTGATAAAGTCGTTGTTTGTGTTTTTCACAGGTACTGAGCACCTACCATGTGCAAGGTGTTTTACATGCATTCTATTATCCCATCTTCACAGAACCCCAATGAAGTGGGTCCTGCTGCTATGTTCTACAGATGGGGTACAGTGGAATGTTTGTTCCCCCCAGAATTCCTGTATTGAAATCCTAACCTCCAGCGTGGTGGTGTTAGGAGGTGGGACCTTTGGGAGGCAATTAGGTCATGAGGGTAGGGCCCTCATGAATGGGATTGGAACCCTTATAAAAGGGACCCCAGAGGGGAGGGGGAGCAGCTAAAGGTTGGTTAATGGATACAAAAGTATAGCTAGACAGGAGGAATAAGCTGTAGTGTTCTCTAGCACTGTAGGGTGACTATAACCAACAACAATCTATCGTATATTTTCAAATAGCTGGAACAGCAAATCTGAAATTATCCCAACTCAAAGAAATGTTTTAAATGTTTGAGGTGATGGATATGCTAATTACCTTAATTTTCTCAGTAGGAAAAGCTAGGAAGCATTAGACCAGGCTGCCTGGATTTCAAGCCCAACTTGTATACATGTAACAAAATATCACACTGTAACCCATAAATATGTACAATTATCATGTCAATTAAAAATAATAATAAGGCCAGGTGTGGTGGCTCACGCCTGTAATGCCAGCACTTTGGGAGGCTGAGGCAGGTTGATTGCCTGAGCTCAGGAGTTCCAGACCAGCCTGAGCAACATGGTGAAACCTCATCTCTACAAAAATTAGCTGGGCGTGGTGGCATGCACCTGTAGTCCCAGCTACTTGGGAGGCTGAGCGGGGAGGATCACTTGAGCCTGGGAGGTCAAGGCTGCAATGAGTCATGTTCATGCCACTGCAGTCCAGCCTGGGTAAAAATAACAATTTTTGAGAAGCTGACTCAATAATAATCATCATCAATGCAAATAAATAAATAAAAGGAACCTCAGAGAGCCCTGTCACCCTCTTATCACTATGTGAGGACATCAAGAAGTCAGCAGTCTGCAGCCTAGAAGAGGCCTTCACCAGATATCTTGTGCTAATGCCATGCTGGCACCCATATCTCAGACCTCCAGCCTCCAGAAGTGTGAGAAATGAATTTCTGTTGTTTAAGCCCCCTGGTCTGTGGTAATTTGTTATGGCAGGCCTGACTAAATAGAACTAAGTAAAACTGACTAAGACATGAGGTTACCAAGACTCAGAGAAGACAAGCAGTTTGGCCTACCTGTGTTTCTAGGGGCTGGGACCACTCCCAGCCTACACCTGGCACCCAGAAGCCCAATTAATCTTGTTAAGCTGCAGCCCCACATCACCCAAGCATCAGTCTTCATCCTCCCCTGCCCCGTCCCTTCCCTGCTCCCAGGCTTCTTGGCAAGGGTACTAATAAATGGATGTATCTCCCAGCTGCTGAATGTGGGACCCACCCACTCTGCATCTCTCCCTTCAGCTCATTTCCCCTTCTGCAGCACAGCAGAATGGAACACGACACCAGTCTTGCCTTCCCCAACTTAAATGTTGCATGACATGGCACCTGGCCACCTCTGCTATCAGTGTCTCCAGCTCTGCGACCCAGATAGTGTCTGACTCAGATGGCCTGGCAACCCCTCCCGCTCCTGGCACTGCCTGCTCACACATGGCACCTGTTGGGGGATGTTTCTGGAGAAGGGGGGTTTGCAGACAGCCTTGAGACTGAGAGAGATGATTGTGTCTCCAGCATCCCATAACCCTGATATGGAAGAACAGCTGGCAAGCATTATTAGGGTCTATTTCACTCCTCTTTGGCATAAAACTGCTAAATCTTCATTTCCCCTTTGTTCATATATATATATATATATAATGAATACACATGTTAAAGAATATATATATATACTCAATATTTATATTAAATCAGCTAATTTTTGTATTTTTTTGTAGAGACACAGTTTCGCCATGTTGCTCAGGCTGGTCTCAAACTCCCAAGCTCAAACAATCTGCCCACCTCACCCTCCCAAAGTGCTGGGATTACAGGCCTGAGCCACTGCAGCTGGCCTTATTATTATTTTAATTGACATATATATGTCAATTATATATATACATATAAAATATATTATGTACATATATAAATATATAAACGTATATATCATACATATAATTTAATGTATGCATATATTAAATATATACGTGTATATATAAAATAGAGATAGGGTCTCACTATGTTGTCCAGGCTAGTCTTGAACTCTTGAACTTCTGGCCTCAAGCAGTCCCCTCTCCTTGGCCTCCCAAAGTGCTAGGACTACAGGCATGAGCCACTGTGCCTACCCCCACCATCATTCTTGACATGGCCACTACCTACCTTGCTCCCCACTGCCCACCCCTGCCCCAGACTCTCCCTTATCATACAGAGAGACTACAGAGAAGAGGGAGGTGGCAAGGCGATTTGCTCTGAAGCCATGGGGGGAACTCTGAAGCCATGTGAGTAGCCTGGGTGCAAGATTTGGAATCAAAGGTGAATCCCTTCCTACTTGTATGCTCAAAACGAGTTACCCACTAGGGGCCTTCTTTGTAAAATGGAGAAATACCCACCTCAATGGGTTTTGCTAGGGCTCCTCCAGATAATATATGTAAAGATATTTCATAAATCATTATACTTATGTAAATATGTGGCTCAGTAAAAACATCTTAGGAATACATCTAGTTTCTTGGGAACTGCTGCCTTAATTCTTCCAGGTCCTCAGTTGCCCACTGATCTGCTATAGCCTTGGCCAAGTCTGGTCCTCTCAGCAGCAGATCCCTCATCTATAGTTGGAGGGTGGATATAACTCTCTGGGGTCCCCTCCAACTCTGCAGTCTTGACTCTGTGTGTTTGGTGGCCTGGGATTCAGAGGCTTGTTTCAGTCTCCCTCTTAAAGATTACAGCACTTCTCTTTTTTTTTTTTTTTTTTTGACATGGAGTCTCACTCTGTCGTCCAGGCTGGAGTGCAGTGGCGCGATCTCAGCTCACTGCAGGCTCCACCTTCTGGGTTCACACCATTCTCCTGCCTCAGCCTCCCAAGTAGCTGGGACTACAGTCACCCACCACCACACTCAGCTAATTTTTTTTTTTTTGTCTTTTTAGTAGAGATGGAGTTTCACCGTGTTAGCCAGGATGGTCTCCATCTCCTGACCTTGACAGCACTTCTCATTCTGACCAATGATATCAAGATGGTTTCACTCTAGTTTCCAGTCCCTGGCACTACTCCTGGACATCTCACTGGCATGGACAGTTTGTGTGTGGTCCCTGAGGTGGGCAGGGACCAAGGTACCAGAGCCTGCAGCACAAGGTCTTAACCCTCTTCCTGGGCTACAGAGAAGAGCAAAATCACTTGGCACAAGGACCAAGAAGCCTTCCTGAGCTAGGAGCAGGAAAAAGGACCAGGGAGGTCTTGCCTCAGGACGAAAGTGGCTGCCTACCCCACAGTTTTATTTGTTTCATTTTATTTATTATTATTATTTTTAGAGACAGGGTCTTGCCATCTTGCCCAGTCTAGTCTCAAACTCCTGAGCTCAAGTGATGCTCTCTCCCAAAGTGTTAGGATTATAGGTGTGAGCCACTGTGCCCAGCCCCCACATTGTTTTAAAGGACCCTAGGCCAGGTGCTGTGGATCACACCTGAAATCCCAACACTTTGGGAGACTGAAGTGAGCAAATCGCTTGAGGCCAGCAGTTCGAGACCTGCCTGGGCAATATGACAAAACCCCATCTCTACAAAAATTACAAAAAAATTAGCCAGACATGGTGGTGCACACCTAGAGTCCCAGCTACTTGGGAAGCTGATGAGAGAGGATCACCTAAGTCCAAGGAGGTTGAGGCTGCAGTGAGCTGAGATCATGCCACTGTACTCCAGCCTGGGCCAACTCTGTCTCAAAAAACAAACAAACAAACAAACAACAACAGGACCCTAAATAGCTTCCTCCACCTCACACAGTATCACTCCATTTGCTGCCTTAAGTATAAAATCCCATAATCAAGGAGAAAAGACTTTCACTCCACAATGAAAGAGGGGACTTTAGATGAAAGTTTCTATAGGCAAGGTCATACCCTGCATAATAGTAACACTCCAAAATCAGCAAGAGACCTTAGAATCTGAGAGCAGTTTGGAGTGGGAGAGAGAGAATGAGGACAGAGTTCTGGGCACTCTTAAAAAGAACAAAAGGCCAGAGGTGGGAGATGAGGACATCTAGAATGTGCTTGACTGGTGTCACTACTTTGTGCTGGCGTTGAGCCCTATTCCCACATGGCCAACAATAGAAGCTTCCTTCTTTCTCTCTCTCACAGCTGCAAAAACTGATGTGATGGCCTGGGAGTAAGAACCAGCAACTGTGTGTTCCTGGGCAAGTCACTTCCCCTTACAGATGAGAGGGTTGGACAGCTTGATCTCTAAGGTCTTTTCTGCCTCGGCCATTCTAAGATTCTCAACTCCTCAGAATCTTCTGCAGAGCACTGAGTAGGACTGGGCTGTAGGAGAACAGCTAAATTTAAGGCCCAGAGCCCCAGCAGAGGGTGGGATGGTGCAGCTGCAGCTGTGGCCCCGGGGTGGGCCCCTGCCTGCCCTCCCACCATCCCTGCTTACCCGCAGCCAGCTGCATCCATGCACAGATCTTGTAGACTGTGGCCGTGTTGCAGATGAAGAACAGGCTGAAGCAGATGATGGAGCCAATGATGAGGAACATGCCCAAGGCCACAAAGAACATGGCAGTCTTGAAGGCTCTAGAGGGGATGGAGGAGAAGTCTAGGGGACCGCCCTTGCAGATGAGCTCGGAGGAGAGCACGTTACCCACGCAGTAGGAGAAAAGGCCGAAGTAGCCTGCCTGCGGTGTGTTGACGCTGTCGCCGATCCAGTAGGGCTGGATGAAGAGGGCCATGACCAGCACGGAGAAGCAGATGGTGAGTGTACCCCACATCACGCCCACGGCCCGCGAGTTCCGCACATAGTTGGTATGGTAGATCTTGGCTGCCTCCTGGGCCGGCAGCAATTTCACCATGGTGAGGGCAGCAGGCCCTGGGCTGGGGTCCCGTGGGCTGCAAGTCCGTGGCTTTGTGGATGGAGGCCTAGAAGCAGGTCACTCCCCAGCGGGGTTTGGGGAGGAGGCTGAGGTCAAGGCACCAGGTGAGGTCCCTTCAAGGCAAGGGGAAGAGGCTTAATAGGACAAGAACAACCTTGGCTTGATCAGGGGAAGCTTGCCAGGTGCCTGTGTCCGCTCTAGCCGAGGCTGTCTCCAGTATCCTGCCGCCTCTCAAGCCCCCCAGGGTGTCGGGCCTGCTGGCGCCGCCCTGCCCCTCTCCCTTCCCGGCTCAAGGCTCCCGAGAGCCCCGCCCCCTCCTCCGTCCGCGGAGGGCGCCGTTTCAGCACCGCGGCCAGCGCCCCGGGGTTCTGGGCGAGGGGCGGGGCCTGCAGCCGAGGCGGGGAAGGGACCGAGCGCCCACTGCAGGCCCCCGCCGCAGGGAATCGGAACCCAGTTCACCTTCCTGAACCGAGATGACAAGAACTGGGAAAGTGGAGCTGTGGCTGACACATTCCTACCGCTCAATTCCAGCCGCAAAAACGCTTTCCCCCCGCAAAAGCGCTGTCCACATCCCATTCCACCCCACCCCTCCCTGGTTCCATAGTCGCCAGAACCTCCAATCCCACCACCCCGGAGGTCAGCAAAGCCTTTCCTGGTTGCCTTCTGGTCACTGGTTTTTCGTCCTTAGCATTCAGTCAACGATTTCTAAAAGCATACTATGTGTTAAGGTTATGTTAGAGGACATCTAACCAAAATATTTACATATATAATATATGTATATATGTAGTCTATATAAATATATATACACAAAACGCCTGTATATGCAGACTGTGTGATAACAGAGGCAACTACAAAGTAAAGCAGACAACATTCTTTATGAGCCTTCTCAGACCTGAACATGTGTTTTGTTCAATACAATGCCTTTCTCCCCTTGTTTCTATGTGTTTGTTACATATTTCCCCCTTTAAATATATGTATGTTTTTATATGTTATATATATACATATTTCTCCTGATTTTATAGGTAAATACAAGGCTAGTGTAAAGAACTAGGAAAATTCCACCGGGCGCGGTGGCTCACAACTGTAATCCCAGCACTTTGGGAGGCAAAGGTGGGCAGATCACGAGGTCAGGAGATCGAGACCATCCTGGCTAACTCACTGAAACCCCGTCTCTACTAAAAATACAAAAAATTAGCCGGGCATGGCGGCGTGCGCCTGTTGTCCCAGCTGCTGGGGAGGCTGAGGCAGGAGAATGGTGTGAACTCGGGAGGGGGAACTTGCAGTGAGCTGAGATCGCACTACTGCACTCCAGCCTGGGTGACAGAGCAAGACTCCATCTCAAAAAAAAAAAAAAAAAAAAAAAAAGCTTCCTTTCCAACTTGGACCCGGCAGAATGGCTTCCGCAAAGAAGGGTGGTGAGAAGAAAAAGGGCCGTTCTGCCATCAACGAGGTGGTGACCCGAGAATACACCATCAACATTCACAAGCGTATCCATGGAGTGGGCTTCAAGAAGTGTACCCCTCGGGCACTCAAAGAGATTCGGAAATTTGCCATGAAGGAGATGGGAACTCTAGATGTGCGCATTCATACCAGGCTCAACAAAGCTGTCTGGGCCAAAGGAATAAGGAATGTCCCACACCGAATCCGTGTGCGGCTGTCCAGAAAACGTAATGAGGATGAAGATTCACCAAATAAGCTCTATACTTTGGTTACCTATGTACCTGTTACCACTTTCAAAAATCTACAGACAGTCAATGTGGATGAGAACTAATCGCTGATCGTTAAATACAGCAAATAAAGTCATAACATTGAAAAAAAAAAAGAAGAAAAACGAAAAAAGAATTAGGAAAATTCAGGAAAGTATACACAAAAGAATAAAATCATAACACCAACGTCAGGAGCTACGGAAAGACAAGACAGTCTTAAAAACATGGACTTTGGTGTTCAACAGGCCTGGATTTGAATGAGCTACTTACTAAGTAACCATCCATGGACTTAACCTTTCTTCCTGAGCCTCAGTTTCTCCATCTATTAAATGCAGGAAATGATGGTATCGATCACACAATGGCTAAGTAAAATACATATATAAAATCTTTAGCCCGGGGCACACATAAAAGTGCTCAAAGGGCTGGGTATGATGGCTCATGCCCGTAATTTCATCACTTTGGGAAGCCAAGCCCGGCGGATCACCTGAGGTCAGGAGTTTAAGACCAGTCTGACCAACCTTGTGAAACCCCGTCTGTACTAAAAATGCCACAAATTAGCCAGGCATAGTGGCAGGCGCCTGTATTCCCAGCTACTCAGGAGGCTGAGACAGGAGAATCGCTTGAACCTGGGAGGTAGATGTGGCAGTGAGCCAAGATCACACCATTGCATTCCAGCCTGGGCAACAAGAGCAAAACTCCATCTCAAAACATAATAATAATAATTTTTTTTTAAAGTGCTCAAAGGCACATTAGTAGTCTCTAATCCCAGCACTTTGGGAGGCCAGGCAGTCAGATCACTTGAGCTCAGGAATTCTAGACTAGCCTGGGCAACATAGCAAGACTCCCGTCTCTACAAAAAATACACAACTTAGCCAGGCATAGCCAGGCATGATGGTGCCCGCCTGTAGTCACAGCTACTTGGGAGGTTGAGGTGGGAGAATCACTGGAGCCCAGGAGGTCAAGGCTACAGTGAACCAAGATCACACCACTGCACTCCAGTCTGGCTTTAACAAAAAAAGAGAAAGTACTCAAAAATGTTGGTGACTACTGTTATTACCACTGTTAGTCCTTGCAGTTTCCCCCTTCTGAACATACTCCTTTACACGACTGGATGATGTATGTACAATTTTATTTTATTTTTATTTTTATTTATTTATTTATTTATTTTTGAGACGGAGTTTCACTCTTGTTGCCCAAGCTGGTGTGCAATGGCACGATCTCAGCTCACCACAACCTCCACCTCCCTGGTTCAAGCAATCCTCCTGTCTTAGCCTAACAAGTAGCTGGGATTACAGGCATGCACCACCACGCCCGGCTAGTTTTTTGTTTTGCTTTGTTTTTTGTTCTTTGATACGGAGTTTCACTCTTGTTGCCCAGGCTGGAGTGAAGTGACGTGATCTTGGCTCACCGCAACCTCCGCCTTCCTGGTTCAAGTGATTCTCTTGCCTCAGCCTCCCGATTACAGGCATAGCCGCCACAACCGGCTAATTTTGTATTTTTAGTCAAGACGGGGTTTCTCCATGTTGTCAGGCTGGTCTTGAACTCCCGACCTCAAGTGATCCTCCCACCTCGGCCTCCCAAAGTGCTGGGATTACAGCTGCGCCTGGCCAGTAAGGTTGTTTGTTTGTTGTTGTTGTTGTTGTTTGACACGAAGTTTCACTCTTGATGCCCAGGCTTGAGTGCAATAGCACAGTCTTGGCTCACTGCAACCTCCGCCTCCCAGGTTCAAGCGATTCTCCTGCCTCAGCCTCCCAAGTAACTGGGATTACAGGCATGTGCCACCACGCCCGGCTACTGTTTGTATTTTTAGTAGAGACAGGGTTTCATTATGTTAGTCAGGCTGGTCTCAAACTCCTGACCTTAAGTGATCTGCCCACCTCAGCCTCCCAAAGTGTTGGGATTACAGGTGTGAGCCACCGCGCCTGGCTCAGGTTGTTTTTAATAGTAAGAAAAGTGGCTGGGCGCGGTGGCTCATTATTAATGTTGGGATTAATGTCATAATCCCAACATTAATAATAATTATGAAGCTAGCTTATTTATTAAAGATTTTACTGACATTACATAAACTTGAAACAGCATTTGACTAGTCTTTTATTTTTTCCTGATAAAGTGTTAGATTCAAGTGCTTTTATTTTCTTAAGCCAATTAGAGCTCTTTTATTTATTTTCAGTAGTGAAACATTGTGCACATCACCCATAAATACATAGACATATCAGGCATGCCTATAGAAGTACATCTTATAGATTTATAAAAACCTTTTTTTTTTTCTATTTTAATCTTTCAGATTCTTTTTGTTTGTTTTTGAGATGGAGTCTCGCTCTGTCACCTAGGCTGGAATGCAGTGGCGCAATCTTCGCTCACTGCAACCTCTGCCTCCCAAATTCAAGCGATTCTTCTGCCTCAGCCATAGCTAGGATTACAGGTGCCTGCCACCATACTCAGCTAATTTTTCTATTTTTAGTAGAGACGGGGTTTCGCCATGTTGGCCAGGGAGGTCTCAAACTCCTGACCTCAGGTGATCTACCCATCTCGGCCTCCCAAAGTGCTGGGATTACAGGTGTGAGCCATCGTGCCTGGCCTTAAACTTTCAAATTCTTGATAACCTGTTTCACAACCCTAGGCAGCTGACAGCTAAATAGCCTTAAATTTGCATATTAAAGGAACAGTTCAGGTGAAAGTCAAATAGCAAAATTTACATTATAAGGTGTGGCGAGAAAAGTCTGGTGTTCCAGAGGGAAATTAAAACAGATTTAATTACCAATTAAACATAAAATTATGGAAATTATAAAGGCCTTTTAAATACACACACACACACACACACACACACACACACACACACCCTGTAGCTTTTACTTCAGAACTTTTAGCCATGAGATAAATACAAATTCACTGGCTTGCAAAAAGAACCTGTTGGATCTAAAACAGCGGTTTTTATCTTAAGAGAAAAATAACAGCAGATTGCTGGGTGCGGTAAGCTCATGCCTGTAAAATCCCCAGCACTTTGGGAGGCCGATGGCAGGTGGATCATGAGATCAGGAGTTCGAGGACCAACCTGGCCAAACATAGTGGAACCCCATCTCTACTAAAAATACAAAAAATTAGCCGGGCATTGGTGGCAGGCGCCTGTAATCCCAGCTACTCAGAAGGCTGAGGCAGAAGAATGGCTTGAACCCTGGAGGCAGAGGTTGCAGTGAGACGAGATTGTGCCATTGCACTCCCAGCCTGGGCGAAGACAAACTCTGTCTGAAGCGAACAGGGAGAGAGAGAGAGAGAAGAAGAGTAGAGAGAGACAGGGAAGGGGAAAAGGGAAGGAAGGAGGAAGAGAGGGAGGGAGGGAAGAAGAAGAAAAAAGAAGAAGAAAGAAAGAAAGAAAGAAAGAAAGAAAGAAAGAAAGGAACAGAAGAAGGAAGGAAGGAAGGAAGGAGAAAGAAAGAAAAGAGAAAGAAAGAAAAGAGAAAGAAAGGAGGGAAGGAGGGAGGGAGGAAGGAAGGAAGGAAAAGCAAGCAAGCAGATTTAGAGCAGGCAGAAAAGAAAAACAGAGAAAAAGACGACTTAGGAATTCTATAGTTTACAGGTCAACTTTAGGGCTCTTTTTCCTTAACGTAAATGTGCACAAAGACCATGTTATTTCAATTTTACATAAACTTTGGCAAGTA